GCTCAGGGCTGGTGCACTGGGAAGACCCAGAGGGATGTGGGAGGGGGGATCGGGATGGGCAACTCATGTAAATCCATGGCTGATTCATGTCAATGTATGGCAAAAACCACTACAATATTGTAAAGTAATTCGCCTCCAACTAATAAATTTTTTTAAAAAAAAGAAGGTAAGTGTCGGAAGCCCAGGCACAGCTTCTCAGAAGAGATATGGTCTCTCTCTCTCTCTCTCCCTCTTTTTTCCCCTCTTGGTTGTACTGTGTATCTTGCAGGATCTTAGTTCCCTGACTGGGGACCGAACCCAGATTTTCAGCAGTGAAAGCAGAGTCCTGACCACTGGATAGCCAGGGAATTCCCCTGACCTCAAATATGGAATGCAAAGATCTGTATTTAGCCTGGGTTTTGTCTATGAAAAACTGCAGGCAAATAATCGAGGCTTAATGTGAACAATAGAATATTAGTGCCAGGTCGCTGTACTTTCACAAACTAACATGTGAAAGATAAAAAATTCTGATTATGCTCAGAGCAAGGGCATTTGAACGGCAGTGGTGAGAAAAAGTTCACAGAATGGTGGGATTTCAACTGGACTGTAAGGATGGTTGTGATTAACATAGACAAAGACAGGGGGTGAGGTCATCGAGAATGGGGATTGGGCATCAGCTGGAGGGGGACTGTGAACAAGGGAGGAGAGGTGGGCAAGGGCAATATTTATCCCAGAGGCACTCAGGCCTGCAAAGGGCACTCCTGCCCTTCTGGATTCACACTATCTCTGGAATATTCTAGACTATTTTTATCCTATTGTTTGATACTGTATATTATCTTCTGGAGATCAACCTCCCCAGAGTTGGTCCTACACATGGGAAGCAGACACTTATGGAAGCAGACACTTATTTAAGCAGACACTTAAATAGTTCAGATGGTCTTCCCATCTGTCTGCCCCTGAATTCCCTAATGATACTCAACTAACATCACTGAAAACCCTTTCCCCCCCTCTCAGTCCCACAGAGGGCCTCAGCCACCCCACCAAGGCTACACTGCATGAGGAATACGTGAGGGCTGCCATCTCTACTATCACCCTCTCATTACTGACAATCCTGGCCACCTTGACTACAAGCCCAGTAGTGCCAAGACTGTTATAGTTATCCTTCAATTAAACTCTTCCAATAACCCTATAAGGTGGGTTTTATATTATTATCTCCATTTTACCAAATGATGAAAATAATGCTTAGAGATGTTTAGTGACCTGCCTACAGTCACAACGGTGATAAGTGATGGAGCTGGAACTTAGACCCTGGCCTCTGACTGCAGGGCTCTCACAATCCCTGCATGTGCATGTGTGTGTGTGGGGGGGGTGGGGGGGTGTCAAGAGAGGATGGGAGCTCAGGATGAGAAACAGCCCTACTATGGGTAGTATTTGCCATTACACAGAAATATCCAAACCCTCATTAGGTGATCCCTGTTCTGTCTTCCTTAATGGAGTATATGGTTGATGACTGTGCTGAGACAGACTCTGGATATTGAAAGATTTGAGGGTAGGGTTGAGCTCTAAATAAAATATAGAATTTTGCTAAATAAATGAGAAAGAAAGTATTTCAAGTATGGAACTCCCATGGAACAAGTAAGTATGTGGACATTACAGTGGAAAGAGGAACAAGACCGTGGGTGGAGGGACACAGAAGTACTGAGGACTACTGTGGCTTTAGAGGCAGGCAGAGTTGGGTTCCAATCCATGAGCAAGTCACAAGTTCTCTGAGCCTTAGTTTCCTCATCTGTGAAGTGATGCCATGAGAAGGGTAACAGTGAAGACTATTCTTTTAAAAACACATTAAATTGTGCAAAGAGTCAGACATGACTTAACAACTGAACAAAAACAAAATTCTGCAACAGTGCCAAGCAAAGAGTAGATTTTTTAATAAATGGTAAGTCTACTTTTTAACTGGTTTTATAACTGAGGAGTGAAATTCTGTCCAGCTTCCTAGGCAGCTAGGAAGTGAACATTCCTACCTAGAAACTTCCTCTTACCATCTATTAATAATTGATCTACCTTCCTCTTTTATCAATTTACTTGTGCAATTATTTCACTGGTGAACACTTACCTAAGCCCTACCATATATCGAGCACTGTGGAAGCAAAAACAAATGAAAGAGGACCTGTGATGCATGTTTTACTTTTCAACATATTTGTATGCATATGGCTTGTCTCCCGTCTAGAAAACAAGGAGAGAAAAAGTTTTAACACTTGGGGAAAGCAAACACAGTCAGAAATTTGGGTCTTGGTAGATGGACAGTCAGGAGGAAACTCAAGCTGAGGTAGGTTCTTCTTATTTTCAACAGTTTTCATGGTGTGTATGTATATGTTTGTGTGTGTGTGTGTTATCGGTCCCTTGATTAGGCTTCCATGTTATGTCTCCACTAGGAGTCTTTACATGGGAGGCAGCCACTCTCTTTCCCACTGACCAGTGGGGACAGAGATGCCTCCTCACAGCTCCCAGAAGGTCTCTGAAGCTAAGCCAGCCCTGAGGTCCAGAGACAGGTCATCGGCAGTGGTCAGAGCCCGAGGCTGGGCTTTGGAGGCTGGCAGACCCCCAAGACTCTTGGCTCTTCTGCATTGGAGTCAAGCTCGGTGGGGCAACTCTGAGGAAACAGGGCGTTTGTGAAATGCTCCTTTGATGAGAAACATAACATAAATACAAATCTCTATTAAGACAGCTTCTGAGGAGCCACTTCAATCCATTTGGGCACCTTTGATTTTATTCTCCAGTTGCTTTCCTTCTTTAAAAAAATTTAATGAGAGCATGTTTTCATCTGGCCTCATGGGAGTAATTCATTTATTTAAAGTAATAATAAAGTTTCAGTATAATCCTTGGTTCCCAGAGGGGGAGGAGACTCTTTGAAGGATTTATTTTTCCCATCCTTGAAGTGCAGGGAGACCAAGCAGCTGCCATGGGGAGTAGTGGTGTCCTGGAACCCACTGCCATGGCAATAAGCAAAGTGTCTGGGGGTCACAGGGAAGCAGGGGCATGGAAAACACTCTCAGAGCTCTCTTCTTTCCTTCTCTCTGCCTCAAGTCCCTCCTTTAAAGACCAAGGGCTAAAGTATGATGAGGCCCCAGGTCAGCAGAGGAAACCAAATAGCATCACAGTCAAGTCCAACTCAGGCTCCAGAATGGATGCCCATGAGGAGCAGGCCAGGGCAGGTGGGTCTTTTCAGAGTCAGATGTGGGGCTCTGGGGGCTAGAGGAGTGGGCTCAGCTGTGGGACACAGGAAGGGTTCGGAAATCTCTGTCTCCAGTGGGTACTGGGGAAGGATGATAACATCTCTACCAGGAAAACCAGGGTTATTTGACTATCCGCCAGCCAACATTTTAAGTATTTTATATGCATTATCTCATTTAACATGTACATGAAGCACATACCAGTGTAATTCCTACATTATGGATGAGCAAAATGAAGATTTTGGCAGTTAGATAACTTGTATAAGGTCATGCAACTAGACAGTGATAGACCAGGATTTGAAACTGGTTGGCTCCAGAACGCAAGTTTGCAACCACTATATGCACTACCTCTCAGGCTGGATTGATTAGGGAAGGCTGATGGGAGTGGTGATATCAGTTGAGATTACTTTTGATTGCAAGCAATAAAAAATCTGAGTTCTGGTGACTTAAGTAAACAGGAGTTGATTTTTCTCTCCTAATGAGGGCCTGGAGCGGCAGCTGCTGGTGCTCAATCAAATGCTGTGGGCGGGCGGACTGTTCCTTTACCCTTTCTACATGCACCTTCTACTTTCTACCTTTTCATCCCAAGAAGGCCATACACATCCAGACATCACATCTGTATTCAAGGCAGGAAGACAGAAAGAAGAAAGCTTGGTGCTGGTACTACCTGTTTTCATCCAGCAGGGAAGAAAATGCTTTTCAGGACCAACCTCTCCCAAATAAAAGCAGACTTCTTAGGACACATGGATGGGAAGGGAGTCACACGACCTCCCCTAGCTGGAAGGAAGCCTAAGGAAAGGAAGAATTTGTCTCTCTGCTTTCTACATGGAAAGGATAGGAATGGCTTTATGCGATTGTTCCATAGCTTAAATGTGACCTGATCTTTGGACAGTAAGAGAGACAGGGAAATGCAAGTGCCAAGAGGGAAAGGTGCAAATATAAAGATGGTGAGGTTGGGCCAGGTCTGGATCCCAGTTTGTGTGGAGAACTGGTGGGCGTACAGATTGGAAAACCAGCTGGGGCTTGCATTATGGTCAAATTTAAGCATCCACTCTAAAAGCCACCTTCATCTTTTCAGGCACGAAGTGTTGTTTCCATGCTCCTGTCAGCCACATTCTCTTGCTTTAACAAGACACATGTGTTAATTACTTTAATTTGCTAAATTTCAGACTTGCCCCCAGGGCTTGGGGATGGATTCCACAGTAGGAAAAGGGGCTCTAGGTTTCTGTATGAAGAGACCCTTTTGTGCTTCATTTAAAATAGATTGTATCACTTAAAATAGATAGCAGAAGAATTCTTCCTGTTCTACTTCCATTTTTTTTTTCCACTGAAAATGTCCCTTCTATAAAACAAGAGCAAATGGTTAGAGGGGAAAAGAATAAAAGACAATGACAATAGGGTTTGTGTTAGGTAAGAGGATATGAGGTGATTATTTTTACCGCAACATTTTCTTTGAAGTTGGCTTGTATTTTGGTAAAAAGAAAAGAATTTAAGGTCACTGAAAAAGACTGATAGTTGAGTTCCCATGATGGTGGCTCTAGCAAAGAAATGTGATTGTCAGAACCTTTTCTAGAGGCGGTGCTGTCACCAACAGGCCTGGGGCACCCTCCCTGGGCTGTGCCTGTATGAGGACGCCCTTCCTCCACTTCCTGCCACCAGGAGGCTCTCTGTGGCTTTTGCATTCTTTCATCTCTCCGGATCTATTCTAGAGTCTTGGTGGTTTAGAGCTCATTCCCAGGGCACTGCCACGAACTCAGGACCGCTCTGTTTTCATTTCGTTGCCGGTTTGTTTTATTGACGCCCGGATGCTCCGGCCTTGACCACGTGATCCCAGAGTGGGTACAGCTGCTCCTTCCACAACAGCTTCTTGGTTTTCAGGTTCTCTTCCTGCTGTTGAGCTGGCGGCTCGTGGCCCGTGCTTTCTGAGCTACAGGTGCAGGGCCTGTACTTCTTGTCCTCACAGACTTTCCTGAGGTCCCCTTTCCGAGTCTGGTTAATGACAGTGAGCAAACAGGCGATGGATCTGCGAACAACTCAGATCTTGGAAAGTTTGGAAGCTTGGGGCAGCTGGGACAGCGCTACCTTCGAGTCCTCCAGCTGTTCCAGAAGCTCCTTCTTGCTGCGTGGCCTCAATCTTGGCCACGGCTGTATAGCCTGCCTCTGCTGCCTTCTCAGAGGGAAAGCCTTCAGCGTCCCTCTCGGAAGAGGATTGCCTCATGAGGGTCTCCCCCTTCTCTCACCTGCAGAGTAACCACAAGTCCAGGGTGTCTCTCATGGGGTCTCCTGTTGAGTTCTTCCCTGGCATCGAGCTGCCTTTTGCTTTCATTGCACCCTGATGTAAAACACTTCCCTTCAGCATTTTCCAAAAGAAAGCTAATGACGTTCAGCTCTATGTAAGCTCAGGACATGTAAGCTCAGGACAAGCTTTAGGGAGACACCCCAGGACATACAGTCTCGCCCTGGCTGCCTCACCCGTGTCCACTTCTCAGGCCCTACACCTTCCAACCCCAGCACTCTTGTCATGTGGCTGTCGTTGTCGTGGTGGTCATTCCGCCCCCGAGTGTGTGGCCCAGTCCACCTCTCCAGTGGTTTCTGCAGCTGAGAGCAGACCCGGTGGGCCTGCTGGCCTTCTGCACCGCACACTTCCCCTCACTACCATCCCCACGTCTCCCAGGGAGAAATCACAGCAACTGCTGAAATCTGGTGTCTGGAGACCCTTTCCAATTTTTAGTAAGACTGTTTGATTTGGCATGTACATGTTTCCTGTTGTCTGCTCTATGCATTGGCCTGTAGTCTCTTCAGAAAGCAGACAAAGCATAAGCTTTAATAAGTGAAGCTCAAGAAGGCACGACTTGACCCATTCATTTATTTATCAATTTCTTCTCAAGGAAGCCCCTGTGCTGGGTTAGGGCCTGTGGTAGGTGCCAGGGATACATACAAACAGAAGCCCAGTTTCTGCCTTCCAGAGGATTACAAGTCAGGAGTTAATAACTAAGGAGTCAAATGTTGGGGGAAAAATTCAGAATTCGAGATATGAATAATCAATACACTGTCCTTAGAGTCAAGCTAGCAATTTCCCCCATAGGCTAAGCTTTTTAAAAAACAAACGCTACCCACTCCACCACCCCCGCTCCCTCCAGCCTTCCAACTCTTGCTTTCTTGGTGGATAAAGTGAAGCTAAGTCAGTTCTTTCATGCCACTCCACAGAGAAACTTTCTCTAGCTTTCGTCCACGGACAGATTAGAACCCTAGTGCTAGCATGGCCAGACCTTCATGATTTTCTTTGAACCCGCTTTGCAGCCTGTGTCCGCCAATGCAGCCTCTGGCACTGGACGTGACACCAACTCAAACTCTTCACCTTCCTTCCAGCACAGAGGTGTTCCCACACCATTATTCATGTCACTTCCTCCGCATGGTGGTCTCTCTAGCTTCTTCACTCAAAACTCGACTCACCAGTTCAAGATCAAGCATGATCCGATCTCAGGCAGGAAGATGTCGCTGGTTTCCCAGGTGGGAGTCATCAGTCCCCTCTATAGAATGAATGTGGATTTGCATGTTTGTTGGATAAATTTGGGCAAGTTAGTTAATATTCCTATGCCTCAGTCTCCCATCTGAAAAATGGGATCAATAATAAAACATATCTCAAGTATCATATGATGTTAAATGCTATTTAAGGGCTATCATCAAAAGTGTCACCATTATCATTAATATGATTGATTTGCCTCACTCTTGAATTAATCCTGGATGTCCTTAGATTGTTGTGATTTCTCCCCTTGTTCCTCCTGTGTTATTTCATGAGATCTGATTTTGGTTTTTTTATTGCTGATCTAGAAGATTAACACAAACTTAGTGGCTTAAACAACATAAATTTATTATCTTACAGTTCTGCGTGTCAGAAGTCCAACATAGACCAAAATCAAGGTGTTGGCAGAGCTGTGTTTCTTTCTGTAGGCTCTAAGGGGGAATTTGTTTTCTTGTTTTTCCAGCTTCTGAACACAGCCATCTGTGTTCTTTGGCTTATGGATCTTTTTTCCAGCTTCAAAGCCAGTAACACTACTACCATCCCGACCATCCTCCTGTGTTCGCACCTCTGACCACAGCCAGGAAAGGGGCTCCAGTTTTGAGGAGCTGTGTGATTAGATTATGCTCTCCCAAGTCAGCTAATCCAGAAAGCTTCCCATCTCAGGGCCCCTTAACCTAATCACATTTGCAACACTCCTTTATCCTATGTGGCATATTCACAGGTTATGGGGATTAGGATGTGGTTGTCTTTGGGGACCATTATTTGGCTTGCCACAAGAGCCTTGAGGATAGATCTTCTTTTCCCCCTAGCTACTCCTTATGGGGCCTGGCATATGAAAGCTTTTAAGAAGTGTAGCTGAAATGAATCCAATCCTCACAGAGTGTCAGGGCAGGGAGACTCAAAGAGAGTTTTGAAGAGTCTGTTGTTTTCCAGAAAATATTTTCCTAATATTATTTGTATAAATTATTGGAATGAATGGTGATGTGTTAATACCTCATGCAGGGGAGAAGGAAAAAAAAACACCTTTTCTGAGCTCAGTTTGCAATTATGTTAAATATTTAATAACAACAACGAAGCTAAGTGTATTAGCAGGAGCCCCAAAGCCCAGTGTCTCACAATCCCTATGCAGCCTGTGGGAACACCATGGGGTAGAATAGCATTGCTATCCAAGCTTTACAGACCAATGTACAGAGAATTTAATCTTCCATGGTCATAGGATAACCAAGTAATAAAATCTTGGCATCCTGATGATCAAGCTCAGGCTTTTTCAGATGGTAACCCTAAAATTCCTTTCTTATCTCCCAGCCAGGATACTCTCATTTTTCCTTTCTCATCACTTAACATATGTCCAAATTATTGTCTTCATACTGTCCTTTGTGTTTTCTTTTAGAATGGCCATAAGGCAAATGACATAAGCAAAAGACAAGAGCAGTAACAGTGCAGGTGAGAGGGGGGTTTGTGTCAAGTGGTGTTAATACATACCTCAATTACACAGTGCTATAAGGTACACGTGAGGAATCAGGTCATTTGTTCAGTAAGTAGCTATTGAGCAGCTGTGAGTATTGTGGACATCCCAGTGACTATCCAGGGCACAGCCCCTACCCTTGTGAAGTGTTTATAGTGTGGTAGTGAAAATAATCTTTCAAACAAGCAACTATATGTGTCAAGAGTATTACCAAAAAACAAATATAAACTGCTCTGGGAAGAGACAACAGACAAAGCTGGAAGCCTTTCACATAACACCTTGAGAACCAGGCTAACGGATTTCAACTAAGAGCCCATTGCAATAGTGAAAACACAAAGTGACAAGAGCTGGAAGCAGGGTTGACTCTGGGAGCAGAAAAGGATCAACTAGGTCATGATACTAACACATCTCAACCCATTGTTCTAATTCTTTGGCATTCCAGTGACTATTTCGAAATGAAAAAGAACTAACCAAACTGGATTTCAGCTTTGAAGATCCATTTATCAAACCAGGGTACACCTGGCTGACATCTTAGACAATCTCCTTGTGGCCCAAGTCAAGAAACTATAAATACGTTGTGGGTTGTTACTTTAAAAAATCTGCTACATATTTGGCCTAATTGATTTACTCACCAAGGGCTTTAAAGAGCAGCCAGCCGTCTCCAGGCTGGGTGTCATGGGAGTGCTAATTAAGCAAGTGTGTGCCCCCTTCAGAGGCACACCCTGCAAACCACAAAGGATAATATGATTAAAGTATCATCAAGCTCTATGGAATGGGCTATTGCAGATATATCAGTTCAGAAAGAGATCTGTGAAAAGAGAGGTTATAGACTGACTTCTTACACCCCAATTTTTCTCCAACATAAATGCTTACAAGAGATTTTTCCTATGCAAAATGTGTTCTTTTAGGGCAAATATTTTCTTCTTGCAATTGTCTTTTAAATTGCAAGAAATAATGGGTTTTTCTAAGTGTCTGTCTACTTCCTCACAACTTTCCAGCACTCACAGTGATCTGCCAGTGGAACCGGCATGCTGGGGTGGCAGTGAGGGCCTGTCTCTGAAGGCACTCACACACACCCTGAGTGAGCCTCTTTCTGCTGTGTCATAGAAGGGGTTCTTGTACTGCTTGGGAGGTTCTACAACTTGACTTCTCAAGATCAGCTTTCTCCTAATCTAAACTCACTGGCTAACAGAAACTTATTATTGAAACACTATCTTGTTCACAATGAAATGGGCCCCACACACTAAGCTTATGTTGTGCAGGTGATGTGATTCTTTGACCCTGATGAATGACCCTTTTTCTCCTGCTGTTGATGAAGGTTCAACATGGGAGTCAAAGCACCCAAGAGCATCAGAAGAATCCAAACTCAAAACTCCCAAAGTTCGTGCTCTTGTTTAGGATCCCTCCTGTGTGTCATGAAAATGTTGATGAAGAAAGAACCATCTATGCGACTCTGAAAAGAAAAAGAACCTTAGGCCATGATGGGGTCATAAGTTTGGCATGACTCAAATTCATGATTTCCTTTGGCTCGCTGGGCTGATTTTTGTCAGTGCCTTTTAGACTTATTGCCTCCTGAGGTTGTTTTTATATTTCTGGGTTGTTTCCCAGGTGCTTTTCACTTTCCACTCCACTCACTGACCCTCACCAAAGGTATTTGCCAGTCGTCATGGTGCCTTCATGTAGAAAGTGAAATTATTTCTTATCTCTACACTGGCCTTTGCTTTTTTGGAGCAAGGGGTGATTTTAGGTGATTTTACCTATGAGAAAAGTGAGAAGTTAGCTTATTAGAAGAGTGTAGGCCTAGGATTAGATGAAGAGAAGCCACCTGAGGTACTCATTTTCTGGACTGCTTGTGGTCTTCCAGGCTTTATCAGAGGTAATGTCTTCATAATAGACCTCCAGTCAGAGTCTGTTATTCTCCCTGTTTGAAAAATTAGGAAAAATTAAATGCAAATTACTAAATTCCTTCATCTGCCTAACATTGTCAGGTTATTCAAGAAGCTCAATGGAAATATACACGCAACTCAGGGCTGAGGGTCTGGGCCACTGTCACTAAAGATTGCTACATGAAAACATCTCCAGAGGGCTCCTGTCAGACTTTTTAGTTAGGGCGGCATCCTCTACTATGTAAGGTGTGAGCAAATTTTGGAAGATTACCATTTTCTATGATGGTATATAATCTTAGAGTGTTCAAACACTCTGTTTCTGTGGGTTTGCATACTGGGCATCT